AGAGACTTGTGAAGAGATGCTGGCAGGGACCGGGGGTAGTGGCTCACACCTATAATCCTAGCACTCTGGGAGGCCGAGGCGGGAGGATTGCTTGAGGTCAGGAGTTTGAGACCAGCCTGAGCAAGAATGAGACCCCCATCTCTACTAAAAAAAATAAAAAGAAATTAGCCAGACAACTAAAAATAGGAAAAATTAGCTGGGCATGGTGGCGCATGCCTGTAGTCCCAGCTACTGGGGAGGCTCAGGCAAAAGGATTGCTTGAGCCCAGGAGTTTGAGGTTGTTGTGAGCTAGGCTGACACCATGGCACTCTAGCCTGGGCAACAGAGTGAGTCTCAAAAACAACAAACAACAACAAAATGCTGGCAAAAGCCTTGGAAGGATGGGGTTGAGTTTAGCTGCCCACCTAATGAGCAGTCTTGGACTGAAACTCAACAGTTATGGCTGGAGCTGGCCTAGGAAGAAAGGAAGGAGGGTTCCCCAAATTAGGAATAAGGAACAGCCCACTAGCATGGGTGGGAGAGGTGGAGCTAAGTGAGCAGGACAAATTGGTCAGAACCTAATTGCTTCGGTCTGAGCCAACCTGAGAGCAGTCAGGAGGCACACTTGTAATTTGCTTTAATGGATTTCCTCTGTTACCCCATCCCTCTGGCCCAGTATAACAAACAGGATGGTTCTCCCTGTAGTCTCATGAGAAAGAAAGAGGCTAGTACTAGATTGTAAAAGAGGCCGGGCGTGGTGGCTCAAGCCTGTAATCCTAGCACTTTGGGAGGCCGAGGTGGGCGGATTGCTCAAGGTCAGGAGTTCGAAACCAGCCTGAGTGAGACCCCGTCTCAACCAAAAATAGAAATAAATTGATTGACCAACTAAAAATATATATACAAAAAATTAGCCGGGCATGGTGGCACATGCCTGTAGTCCCAGCTACTCGGGAGGCTGAGGCAGTAGGATCGCTGAGCCCCAGAGATTGAGGTTGCTGTGAGCCAGGCTGACGCCACGGCACTCACTCTAGCCTGGGCAACAAAGTGAGACTCTGTCTCAAAAAAAAAAAAAATAAATAAAAAAAATAAAAAAAAAATAGATTGTAAAAGAAAGAGATCAAAGTCCAAAGCTATGTGATCTTTTGTGGAGAAACCCTGGGCCCTTGGGTGCTGGCAGGAGAACCCCAGCTGCAGGGTGCACTAGGTGGAGGCAATTTGGGTACATCCATGTCAGGGAGACAGGGGTGCAGCCCTCTCCGTTGGCTCATCCCAATACTTCTGATAGTGGACATTGTTTCACTTGACTGATTTTGAATAACAGACAATCACAACTGGAGGGGTCTTTATAAATCTTTTAGAATAGTGATTCTTAACCTAATGCCTCTTTTTTATTAAAAAAAATGAACCCCTCCCATTATTCTGAAATAAAATCATAGGTGATTCAACCTGCCTACACATGCAAGTAAAAAATAAAAATAAATAATACCCTGTTATATAAAGGAAGGAAAAAAGGAAAGGGATGTATTATAAAACAATATTTATTTCTACATGTAAAGACTTGGCACAACTACATGAGAAGACAAACATGTCCCCATAAATGTCCAAAGCCTCTTTCAGAGAGCAATACTACCCCTGTTGAAAACCATTGCTCTGGAATGACCTCAGTTCACACATAGACAAACTGGATCCCAAAGAAAGGAAGGATCAAGTCCTGCTGCCTTTCTTTTGCTGGGCCACTGCAGCCTTTCAATGGGGTCTGCTTAGAGTTTCCAAACAGAAATGTTCTGTTTGGAATTCCAAGCCTGGTACCAGGAAGCTCATGCTGTCTTTACCAACTCTCATTACCATATGGTCCAGTGATTAAAAGCATGGAATTTGGAGTTGAAATGTTTGCATTTTGGCTCTGCCACTCAGCAGCTGTGTGACCCTGTGCCAGATACTTAACTTCTCTGATTCTCTGTTTTCTCGCATGTAAATTGGAAATAGGATAGTACTTATTCCATAGGACTAGGATAATGTATGCAAGAGGAATGATAATGCAAGAGGAATGATACATAGTAAGTCTTGATAAACAGTAGCTATTAGTATTAGTATTAACTAACTGCTTTCAACTGCTATCACACTCTGCTGTCACATTCTGCTGTCAACACTCTGTTACATTTCACTGATGCTGTCACTGACATCACAATTGCTACAGTGATCCCCAAAGGAGAGCATCTCTTCCCTTCAGTGAATAACACTCTCTTAGACAGCCTAATGTGATCTTTAAAAATTATTTTTTTTTTCATTTCAGCATATGGACATGCTTGAAGCTCTGACTGGAGTGGGGAGAAGGCAAGATACGTAATTTAATGTGATCTTTTCTCATCTTCATAGCATCCTTTATTAGGTAAGTTACCTTGATTATTTTGGTTTTGTTCTTCCCTTTGTGTGGAATAAGTTCTGAAAGCTGAAGCCAGAGGGCATACGAGGGTCTAGGAGGGTCTCTATCTAGTGCCCCAGCAAGTGAATTTCTCAATGGTCCCCAAACCAGTGCCACAGGAAGGAGCCTGGGGACCTCAGTTCTCTTCTGCTTTCAAGTGAATTCCTGTCAATCCCTGCTGTTAGAATAGCCTTTGTCTCCCCTTCTTTGTTCATATATTTTTTTTTGAGACACAGTCTCACTCTGTTGCCTGGGCTAAAGTGCCATGGTGTCAGCCTAGCTCACAGCAACCTCAAACTCCTGGGCTCAAGCAATCCTCCTGCCTCAGCCTGGGACTACTATGAGCCACTATGTCCAGCTAATTTTTTCTATATATTTTTAGTATACTAATTAATTTCTTTCTATTTTTAGTAGAGACAGGGTCTCACTCTTGCTCAGGCTGGTTTCCAAGTCCTGACCTTGAGTGATCTGCCCGCCTTGGCCTCCCAGAGTGCTAGGATTACAGGCATGAGCCACTGTGGCCGGCCTGTTTTTAATCCTGCTACGCTCGCTGACAGCCTTCACCTTTTATTCCAGGAGACCTATGTGTCCTCATGCAAATAAGACTCCTGGTGGCCTGCCCTTCTTATCACAAAGTTCCCAAAATAGAAAAGTGGATGTGGCCCCTATTGTGACCCTTGTCTCAGTAATTTGGATAAACTATATGGTTCCTTCTCACAATAATGAACCTCTGATTTGGGGCTTAGCCAGCCTGTTGTACTTACTTTCCCCAGACTGGAGTCTCAACACAAGGGGGGTTGGAGGCAGGACATTTAAATGTACCTAAGGACCCTGTACCTTGGCAAACAACTGAACTGACTCCCACAAGCAAGTATGGCTCTCCCACAGCTGTTGAGACACCTGAACACACACTCTTTTCTCCTGCAGCCCTGTCCGCGTCTCTTGTGAAAGCACATTTCCCCAACAACTAATGTAAACAAAGGGTCCTGGGAAGTGTTTATAAGGAGTATGTGGGAGGAGGGTGCTACGTCTCATCCTTTCCAATTTATCCCGAGGTTAGCTACCTGAGTGAATTTTAGATTCATCCATATGATACCCCCTAAGGGCCAAATAGATTAAAAACAGGGTTTTTTTCAGTACAATTTCTCAAGTTTCTTTTTCACAACTCTAAGAATATCACACAACTAGTAGCCCTCAGGGTATGTGCTGGCTTCCTGCTGGGGGCTGTTCTGTGATGTTTCAATCACAGCAAAGCGCAGGGGGTGGGGGAAGCGTGCACATGTGAGCTCTTGCATGGCCATAGGTGGGTAGACAGACAGACACACACACACACACACACACACACACACACAAAACCCAGTATTAAGCCATAGTTGTCGTGCCTATATACTCAAAAACAGCTTTTCTAAACTCTTAGGAACCCGCAGACAAAAGAACGTCAAAAGTCAGCTTTTTTACATTTGAAATATACAAATCACCATTATTAGAACCTCTCAAACACGCAACACCAAATATATTTGAACTGAGTATTCTTCAATATAATTCCCCTACCAATTGAGATATGTGCAGCCAAAGAGAAATAAACTGGGACACACTATGCAATCATCCGTGTATAAACACACACACACACACACACACACACACACACACACACACACACACACACACTTGTTAGTCAAATTTTGTCCCAGTGGAACTCAGAACTGCATGGGAGAATGTTTAAAAATAGAGAAATTGGCCGGGTGCGGTGGCTCACGCCTGTAATCCTAGCACTCTGGGAGGCCGAGGCGGGCGGATTGCTCGAGGTCAGAAGTTCAAAACCAGCCTGAGCAAGAGCGAAACCCCGTCTCTACTATAAATAGAAAGAAATTAATTGGCCAACTAATATATATAGAAAAAAATTATCTGGGCATGGTGGCGCATGCCTGTAGTCCCAGCTACTCGGGAGGCTGAGGCAGCAGGATCGCTTGAGCCCAGGAGTTTGAGGTTGCTGTGAGCTAGGCTGACGCCACGGCACTCACTCTAGCCTGGTCAACAAAGCGAGACTTTGTCTCAAAAAAATAAATAAATAAAAATAGAGAAATAAACTAAGTGGCCACACAGGAACTACATTAATTGGGTATTGGGGGGGGGGCGGGTATATACATACATAATGAATGAGATGTGCACCGTCTGGGGGATGGTCACACTTGAAGCTCAGACTTGTGGTGGCATGGGGGGCGAGGGCATTATTTGAAATCTTAAAATTTGTACCCACATAATATGCTGAAATAAAAAAAAATAGAAAAATAAACTAAATGTAAATTGTACTTGACTGATCATGAGGAGACCAAAACTATGAAGCCAAGGCTCTAGTGAGTTTGGTAAAATCAGGAAATCGACAGAAATACTGAAGGAGATAATGACAGGAGGTAGAAGAGCTGGCTCCTTTAAATCCACATAAACTGCAGAACAGCACATGCCACTTTGGAATCAGCACTCCCATCTCTAACCTTGTCATTCTATGCTGTCTCTGTCACTCCTAGAAGTCACTGAACTGGTTCTTCACCCTCCCTGTAACATCTAATCACTCACTACTTCCCATTTGATTTGAATTATGACCACATGATATTTGATCACAATAGCCTCCCTTTGCAGGTCACACTCTGTAGCCAGCTAATTTAATGGTGCTCTTTTCACTACATTGGAGTCTCTTTTATTCATGAGTTTCAGCTAAGCTCATTCCAACAATTTGCATTCCTGGCTATGGGAAGCAGCAGCACAGCATGATGATAAAGAGTTCAAGCTTTGGAGTCAGACAGAACTGGATTACCACATGCTAGCTGTATGATCTTTGGTAAATTACTTAACTTCTCTAAGCCTCAGTTTCCTTTTCTGAAAAATGGAGATCAAATGAAATCATATTAATAATAGCACTTAGATCATAGGATTGGTGTGTAAGCAATGATATCATCCACGTGAAGTGCCTGGTCCAGAGAAAGCATTTGGTACACATTGGCTATCGTCACCACCACCACAACCATCATCATCATTATCAGTCCTGCTCTCAGTGTGATAAAACTGTGAGATAACCCTTTCACAAAAAGCTCTTTCTGTTTAACTCTGGAACATTCCACTTCTAACATTCATGAATATAAAGAAGCTTCTTCCTTTCATCTTCTGATTCTAGGACTGCAGATTCATTACACTTGCTATTCTATACCCCAACCCTTCCATGGTTATGCAAATTAGTTATCAAATTTTTCTGGCAGTGGCTGCACAGAGTTGGGGAAATGAAGGTTCTGACCCCTTGGGATACTAAAAGAAAGGTTGACAGTGCCTCCCACTAAGATCACACGCAATGGCGGAGTTCCCCAAAGGGAGACTGGTGGACTACTAAGAAGGAGGAATTCAATATTGAACAAAGAAACCATAGCAAATGTCTACTACACCTGGGAATACAGTGTGAAAACTACTGACGTAGACCTTAGCTAGGCAGTTTTTAATGTTGGCCAACTTCTTCCCTGTCTCCTCCATCCCCCATCTACACTGAAGAAGAGAAACACAGCAATAGAGTCATGACCTTCCAGGATGCTGTATAGGTCCATTGTGCAAGGAGCTCAAGAGTCTGCTTCTCTCTTGTGATCTCCTCTCCTGGCAGCCTCTCTTGTTTCCATGAGGTTGGATAAGTATCAACTCTCTTTCTCTCTCTCTTCTCACTCTCTCTTTTTTGCTCAATTCATTCTATGAGGTAAGAAGGTAAGAAGAGGAAACAGGTACAGAAAGATTGGGGCTAGTGGTTCTAGGTGCAGGGGAAAATGCCTTTGTTTTAATTCTCTCAACATCTCTTTCCATTTTTATCCCTTAGATCATCCTCAGTTGTTAGATCTTACTACTATGGTAGCAAGAAAAGACATGCCAGTGGGAAGCAGATTAAAATATTAAAGAAACAGGGTAAGTGAGTCAGAGCTTAGCCCAAAACTTAGTCCAGTAGCCCTGCATCCTATGGAATAAAAGCCCATTTGAGTTTTTCTCGACATAACAAGTATTATTAGAGCTCCACCCATACCCCTTGGATCTTCCCATGTGTTCAGGCCAAGTTCCAACTGCACCAGTGCTCAAGGCTTGTTTTTTTTTTCCTCAGAATTGCAAAACTCTGTGCTGTCTACATGTGCAGCAATCTACAAATGCCAGTGAATTAACATCCCCCAGGAGCAGTGAGATGTGACTCATGAGTTGGTGTATAAACACCCAAGGTCTCTCACTCCCCAGGGGAATAATTCTGAGGTGAATGTTCTACACTGTTTGCCCAAGTTTCCCCCATATGGTTGTTTGTCCTCCACTGTGGTAGCTGGCTTAAAAGCACACTCTCTATTGACAGACTTCATTTTCCTTCTAACTACCTCGCTCCCTTAGAGGTGTTACCTGCAATTCCCAAACAAAGTACTTTCATTTGATCTGCTTCTTGGAGAACCCATGCTAAGACCCCATGTTAATCTTGAGTCAATAGATAAGGACCCCTAAATGAGATAGAATCTTTTCCAAAGTTTTTTCTTTCTTTTTTTTTTTTAATCCATTTTGTGCTACAATAATCAGTATAATGAACCTTTGGTTCTTAAATCAGAACCTAATGATGACTTATTATCCAAATGAGATAGAGAGTAACTATAGATCAGAGATAGTGGAATATACTTAAATACTTTCCTCTTGAGGATATCAATCTTGTAAATGGAAGGGATGTGAAAAATTATCAGTTTTACTGTGATATAGTAGGAATTTTGAGATCAAGGATCCTTTTCACAAATTGAAAATTAGAGGGATTAAGAAAAGCCACTTCTGATCATTGAAAAATGTAAGCGTTCTCTAAGTAATCCGAATGAATACTCAAATGCTTGCCATAAAAGTTAAGGATAAAGATTTCTGGAACAAACTGAATTCATTTAAAAAGAAAGTAAAAATGGAACAATATGCTATCAGTTTCAACAATAGATGAATGACAAAATTAACAACAAAAATAAAATCTGTCATTTTTGAGCACTTAAGTATAGAGAATTTGCTGTATAGTTTATGTACACTATCTCAATCCTCACAGTAGCTCTGAAAGGTATTATTTTTAATCACCATTTTGCACACAAGGAAACTTAGGCACAGAAACCTTGAATAATTCCTCTGGGGTCACACATCTAGTAAGTGGTATAGATAGGATTTGAAATCATGTTTTCTTGCTCTGGAGCTTATACATTTTCTATTAATACTTTCACATACATTTTTATTGCTATACTTTGTATTTCCCTTCATGTGTGCTTATTACTTTCAATAAAGATTAGTTGTTAAATGTAGAAATAAATGTGATTTAATGTTTCAACATTAAATTTCAATATTACAAATCATTGATTTGTAATAACTGTATATAAATAAATTCATCCATGATAAAAAAAATTCTCACAGATCATGTGTCTGAGCTGGACTTGATAGAATAGAGTTGTTATATTCATAATGGGTCAATAGAGCACTATATGCCCAATCAGGTCTATAGGTTCTATGCATTTGGCTTTTTGACAAAATCAAATCTGGCATGGTTTGCACTCTTGATATGGCTTATAAATTCCAAATTGTCCCATGCCTAATTCAGGACCTAGCAGAGTGTCCTGCAAATAGTGGGCTCTCAATGAATGAATTGAAATAGATGTATCGAATTGAGTCCCAAGTCTCCTTCTGACTGGTTTCCAGGCCCAAGCCCTTCACTTTAGCTTGAAATTATAATAAACCCAACCACCAAGATTTGAGGTCATTTTTTCTTCTATCTTAAGTCAAGGATAAGAATAAGCTCTTTCCTTGACACCCATCCTCCTCCCAGCCTTGGACAATTTTCAAGGTGTTCTCCTGGGTCTTGAAGCTTGATTCCTAGGTTGTCAGGTTTCTCTCTCTTCCTATATTCCTGGCTGCTGACAACAGATCTTCCTTAATCCTCAGGACTCTGTGCCTTCCTGCCTCTTTGCCTTTGTTCGCAATATTCCCTTGGTCTGGGATTCCCCCCTTCCCCACGTCTTGGCTTCTGTGTGGCTCTAATCTCAGATTCCTGAACCTTGACTGAACCAGGTGCAGATGTAATTCCAGCCACAGTCCCCGGTCCCTGCTCTCCAACAAACTGGGAGTACTTATTTCTGGCTACCAGGGTCTCCAACCTTGACCTGGCCCTGCAGATCTGGTGGCTGGCCAGTGTGAGCCTGATAAGTCACCACCAGTCTGTCTGTATCAGCTGGAGGCCTGTTTTCCAGCATGTGCCTGCAAATATCTAACTTATTTACTCATCCTGCTTTTTGTTTGAATTCTTTGAACACAGCAGGTTCCCCCCAAATAATTCCAGACAGCATGGAAAGAACCCTGTCCTCATCGGTCCATGAGTGAAATGGCAAGTCAGGCCTGTAAATAGGATTCTGGCCTCTTCTGAGGCTCAGCTGCCTGTAGAGACATGCAGCCCCACAGCACACCCCCACAGAGACACGCGACCCTGGCCAGAGGTGGTAAGATGAGTGCTGACATGGTTTGTGCGCCTCTAGATGTATGATTCTACTTGAAAGAGCAAACAACTTAAGAAGAAGAATCCCAAAGCAATCACAGCAACAACAAAAATAAATCAATGGAGACTGATCAAATTAAAAAGCTTCTTTACAGCCAAGGACACAATCAATAGAGCAAACAGACAACCTACAAAAATGGGAGAAAATATTTGCATGTTATACATCTGATAAACGGTTGATAACAAGAATCTACAAAGAACTCAGGCAAATCACCAAGAAAAAAATCAAACAACACCATTAAAAAGTGGGCAAAAGACATGAACAGAAACTTTTAAAAAGAAGATAGACTAATGGCTAAGAAACACATGAAAAAATGCTCAACATTTCTAATCATCAAGGAAAGGCAAATAAAACCACAATGAGATGTCACCTAACTCCAGTGAGAATGGCTTTTATCAAAAAATCCCCAAACAACAGATGCTGACAAGGAAGCAGAGAGAAAAAGTACACTTACACATTGTTGGTGGGACTCAAACTGGTAGTGAGGAACTACCTCAAAGAAGTGAAAGTAGACCTACCATTTGATCCCGCAATCCTACTGCTAGGTATTTACCCAAAGGACAAAAGACACTCTATAAAAAAGACATCTGCATTCGAATGTTTATAGCAGCACAATTCACAATTGCAAAGAGGAGGAATCAACCCAAGTGCCCATCAATACATAAGTGGATTAATAAGATGTGGTATCTGTTATACCATGGAGCACTACTTAGCAATAAAATAAAACGGTGATCTAATGTCTTTGGTAACAACCTGGATGGAACTGGAGGCCATTCTTCTTAGTGTAGTGTTGTAATAATGGAAAAACAAACACCACATGTACTCAATACTAAATTGGAACTAATCGATCAACACTTATGTGTACATATGGAAGTAAACCTCAAGGGAAATCAAGGAGGTGGGAAGGAGAAGAAGGGGATGGGTAAATTCACACCTAATGGGTACAGTGGATCCTAGCTGGGTGAAGGACACACTTATAACTTTGATTCAAACTGTACAAAAGCAAAATATGTAACCAAAACTTGTGTACCCCCATAAAATTCTGAAATAAAAAGAAAAGGAAACTAGACTTTTGGTGAGAGTCCCATTAACTTCATCAAGGAGAGCAGTGATATGATGTATTGTAACAAGGGTCCTGCTAGATCAGTGGCTATTTAGAAAACCCAGTGAGTTGGCCTGAACCATGCCAGTCCTCCAGATACATTATAAATAATTTTCACACTTCCTTTTTTCATCATCTTCAGAAAACTCACCATGCTTTATATACACTTCAGGAATATAAAAAGCAAAGCACTTGTGTGTTTGCTTGAGGTACATTTTCACCCATGGTTGATGAAAGATAAGTCTGAGACCCCCTTCTTGCTACACTTGCACCTTCAGCTGGAAATTAGAGCTCCAGGTGGTTGGAACCCTAACTTTTCCTGTTAATGGGCCAGCCAAGCCCAGCAGAGGGGCTCTGTCCCATTATTGTGCCCTTGCAGGAGTGCATGTCATAGCTTGCCTGGATGCTTGTTGTTTTGTAATTGCCTAACCCTGACCAGCATCCTCTCCCCTCCTCACTAACTCTTCAGCCCCCTGCAGGCCTCCTCATAGTCCAGACTTCCACCAACGCCATTTCAAATGATTATAGCTCATATATAGTGGTTGCTTTCAGCCCTACAAAAAGATTTCTACAACTAAAAGGTGGATAGCCTGTTGATTTCATTTGTTTCCAATATGTTGGCATTTTTATTCAATACAGTTGCATCCCATTTGTTAATGCTGTGTTACTCTATTGATTGGAAATACCAGGGGGCCATGTTCCCTAAAGCATTCCTTCTCGCAGAAAAGGATAACTCGAAGTAGATTAGTTTATTTAGCAAGGGAGTCAGCTCTTCCCAGACATCAGTGCCTTCGAGACAACCCCTTTCATTTTAAGTTATGGAGTCTTTCTTTCTTTCTTTCTTTCTTTCTTTCTTTCTTTCTTTCTTTCTTTCTTTCTTTCTTGTTGACACCTAACAATTATACATATTTATGGGATACAGAGTGATATTTCAATACGTGTGTATGATGTGTAATGATCAAATCAGAGTGTTTAGCATATTCATTACCTCAAATATTTCTCCTTTCTTTGTTTCAGGAACATTCAAAATCCTCTGTTCTAGGTTTTTGAACACATACAATAAATTGTTGTTAACCATTTTCACTGTACACTGCTATAGTATGCTAGAACGTATTCCTCCTATCTGACTGTAATTTTGTAAGTTACTGTTCTTAAGAAAGTTAAGATCCCTTTGAATAATCTGAGATGTGTGAAATAAGGTTAGTCACAGGATTTCCTGCCACAAGAGCTCACAAACAAACTTTCCTCACTTCCTCTTTTTTAAAGTTCAATTTAGGCTCACTGATCTAGTTGCTTTTGTTTTAGTGGTTACAGTCTCCACCCTGTTACCAATAGTTAAAAGGGTTGACGAAAGCTAAAGTGTTTGCTCGCTCTCTCTTTTTCTCTCTCTCTCCTTCTCAATCATACATGCACACATAGTCTCTCTCTCTCTCTCTCTCTCTCTCTCTCTCTCTCTCTCTCTCTCTCTCACACACACACACACACACACACACACACCCCAGAGGCATTACATTGAAACAGCAGACATTCTGTCCATTAGAAACTTAGACTCAGAAAACTTCGTTTCCTCCAGTTTTGGCTTCTTCCTCTCTCCTCTTCATAAGCTTAGTTACCTGACGTCTAGACCACAGAATTCACCATCTTCTCACCCTAGCCATTCTCTTGCCATCCTTCTCCTACATCCTCAGGTGCTTAGGTTGTTAAATTGTCATCCCTTATAGGCTCTCAACTTTTCTGAGCCTCTACCATCTTACCTCAATATACCTACACCTCCTCCTAAGACAAATCTCCCTATGCCATTCTCATGTAAAGGCCTTGGGTTCTGCTAAACTGTGAGCTCCTTGAGAGCAAGGATTAGGGTTTATACATATGTGCCTGCCCTAACACAGTGCCAGGCCTTCAGTGTTTGTTGAAGGAATGAAGACAGAATGAATGAATGAATGTTTTATCTGAATGAATCAGATAAAATATTATTATAAATAATAATTATAAATATTTATAATACAATATTTATATTTTATTATATAAAATAGGTTGTCTGGATTTATAAATATTTTATTATAAATAAAATATTCCTTCCAAGTAATAATATCTTAATTCAATTAAAATGTGTTTCCCTAAGGCCATGAAAGATAGAATCTGATAGTGGGAATTTCACACTGAGGAATGGTTTCTCCACTTTTGTGTATCTCAGGTTCTTAAGAGTCTATGTATGGTGGGCGTGTGCATATAGGAATAACATTTATTGGGCGTCAGGCAGGTGGGAGGGGGGAGGAGGGGATGGGTATATACATATATAATGATTTCGACGCGCACCGTCTGGGGGATGGACACGCTTGAAGCTCTGATATGGGGGGGAGGGGGGCAAGGGCAACATGCATAACCTAAACATTTGTACCCCCATCATATGCTGAAATACAAAAAAAAAAATAAGTAAAACATATAATGTGTTACAGAGCAGTAAGTTTTCAACACATGAGTGGATTAATAAAATGTGGTATATGTATATCATGGAGTACTATTCAGCCATAAAATATGGTGGATGAATACCTCTTGTATTAACCTGGATGGAACTGAAACCCATTCTTCTAAGTGAAGTATCATAAGAATGAAAAAACAAACACCACATGTACTCACCATTAAATTGGTACTAATCAATCAACACTTAGGTGCACATATGGAAGTAACATTCAATGGGGATCGGGCATGTGGGGAGGTGAGGAGAGGATGGGTAAATTCACACACAATGGGTGTGGGGCACACTGTCTGGGGGATGGACATGCTTGTAGCTTTGACTCGGGCTGTGCAAAGGCAATTTATGTGACCAAAGTGTTTGTATCCCTGCAATATTTTGATATAATAAAGAAATCCGCATAAGTAAACTAAAAAAAACAAGTCTATGTGTGGTGGGACTGGAGATTTCTTTCTTTCTTTTCTTTCTCTCTTTCCTTCTTTCTTCTATCTTTTTCTTTTTTTTTTTCTTTTTGTGGAGATGGAGTCTACCTATGTCACTTAGGCTGGAGCCCAGTGGCTATTCACAGATGAGATCATAGTTCACTGCAGCCTCGAACTCCTGGGCTCAAGCAATCCTTCTGCCTCAGCCCTTGGAGTAGCTGGGACTACAAGATACCTGCCATCCTGCCAGGCTTGGGACTGGATATTTCTGTACTCAGAATTTTAGGTTCCCCATTTTCACTAGGTTGTCTGGATTTTCTAGTAGCATCTTCCTCTCCCTCTGCCTTGTCCACTGAGGACCAGCATAACAAGTAATTTAGATGTATAACTAAACCTCCCTGCAATGTAAGAAATTTGAAGCTATGTAGTTGTAAAGTTCCTCCCAGGTATAGTTCATGTGACTCACTTTGCAATGAACTGTACCTGGGTGGATCCTATTCAGGATCCATCTACTGGCATCTTAAATCACAGGCCTTGGAGTGATGGAGATTCTGGTTGGTTCACTTTACTTCCACCCTTCAGTTCAGCGTTGAGTTCTTTAGCTGGTTCCTGGAGAAGTAAGGTTTTGTTTTGTTTGAACCCTAGATGGAATGCATTTGCTTGTAGTATTAATAGAAGCCATTTCTGGCCGGGCGCGGTGGCTCACACCTGTAATCCTAGCACTCTGGGAGGCCAAGGCAGGTGGATTGCTTGAGGTCAGGAGTTCGAAACCAGCCTGAGCAAGAGCGAGACCCCGTCTCTACTATAAATAGAAAGAAATTAATTGGCCAACTAATATATATAGAAAAAATTAGCCGGGCATGGTGGCGCATGTAGTCCCTGTAGTCCCAGCTACTCAGGAGGCTGAGGCAGGAGGATCGCTTGAGCCCAGGAGTTTGAGGTTGCTGTGAGCTAGGCTGACACCACGGCACTCACTCTAGCCTGGGCAACAAAGTGAGACTCTGTCTCAAAAAAAAAAAAAAAAAGAAGCCATTTCTACCTATGCAGTCTGCACCTTCATCACCGACACAGCTGATACGTTCTGACTACTCTG